AATAATAATAATACACAAAGCAAGTGATGCACAGTACAATTGCTCCCCCCCCGCCGACCAATGCCTAGCCAGTCCCCAAGCAGTGGCCCCCCCACCCTGGCTAGCTTTCCCCAGTTTATGTACTGAGCATGACGTCACATGGTATGGAATGTCCCTTTGGCCAGTTTGGCTGTGCCCCCTCCCAGCTTCTTGTGCACCTCCAGCCTTCTCAGTCGGTAGAGCATGGAAAACTAGAAAGTCCTTGGCTAGTGTAAGCATTACGTAGCAACAACTAAAACATCGGTGCCTTATCAATTTTGTTCCCATCCTAAATCCAAAACACAGCACTGTATCAGCTACTAGGAAGGAAATTAACTCTGTCCCTGCCAAAACCAGGACACTGAGATATGCAACATCACAAATAAAATGATGTCATCATGAGTCTAAATATAAACCAATCAAAAAGAAAATGTTTCTTGGCTGTTAATTAGCCTTTGGGTGTAGCAAAAACACTTAAGGTGAGTGAGTAATGATCCTTTGCCTAACTATAGAAAGGCCCTAGTAATATTTGGATGAGCAAATACTTCTTTTTTTTCTTTCCCCCCCTGCAAAATAAGGTAATTTGATCATGGTACAATACATCCTATTTGTTAAAGATGTACATTAGCCTCATTTTCATGAGCAGCACCAATGGCACTTTTATGAATGCTTCTGAGGTCTACTAGAAGTTGACTAGTGTTTTCTCTTCTTCCATTGAAAAGTTTACTGGAAACCGAGACTATCAGTAACTTGCCATACCGGTGTTGCAAAGTGCATGGCATCCTAAAGAATTTGTCAGCAGTCTCCAGCTACCTGTTTTCTTTCCTCTAAAGGAAAGAAGGCTGAGCCTGTTCCCTGTGACGGTGATCAACTAGCCATGGTCTTCAAGAATTGCTTGTATTAAGGAGCTGCTTCTGCTTCTGTATGACTTACTTTTCTCTTCTTTCTGGACAGTATGTTAATTGCATTTTATCTTCCAGTCCACTAGTGGACTCTTCAGTATTCCACTAGAATCATAGAATCATTAAGGTTGGAAGAGACCTCCAAGATCATCGAGTCCAACCGTCACGGCTGCTTTTAAACGCTCCTCTCTTTCCCATTAGTCCAGTAGATTTTTCTGTATCGCAGCAGCATCTTAAACCTTACGGTATTTGCTAAATGGCAGTTTATCACCAGTTATATCCATTAGGTTTGTTTAGGTTTTGGAGAGTTCTAATATCTAACATGTGAAAAGTTTATTGTTCACTGCTGTTTGTTTTTCAACTACTGTGCTATCCTGGAGTCCTGTGGTCTGGTGGGAAAGGACTGTTTTAACTAAGGACTTTTATATTGCTCTTTAGTTGCATTAAAATGAGCAGGCAGAGCTTTTTCCTTCCTTTTCATGAGGTAAGTTGGAAGTAATTGCAATCATGAGATTTCAAAATCTAGGAGAAACACTTTCACAAAACTTGTCTTCAATAAAATACCGTTTCTTGTTGTCTTCCACTCAACTCCACTCTTTCACTCTTCCCTGCCCAAAAAAACCCCAACCACCAAAGAGTGGTATGTTTTGTTGACATTTCACAGAATTAAAATCGCCTCTGCTGAGGGAAGCTTAAGTTTTGAACTCCTGTGTCTTTTGAGTGATATGACAAAGTCACTTTGGAGCACTCAAAAATTGTAATGTATGTAAATTAATTCCTGTGAAAATTTGAGTAGCTTGCTCTTGCTGTGTGTGGAAGTGGGAAGAGAAGAGATTGTTGTTGAAGATACTGAAGATATTTCTGCAGTAATTAAGGACAAACCTTACTGTCTTAAGTGAAAAGGTTGTGCTAGTACATCAAAGAGGAGAAGTGAATGAGGGTTGGTTTGGTTTTTTTCTCCCCTTCTTGGTCCTTCAGGTTTAATTATCACCTGGTTATATCCTATATACAGCTAATTATCAAACTAGAAGCTGGTGTCATACAATATCTTGTTGGCTAGGGCATCTCGTTTTTATTGTTGTAGGCTTTCTTTAAGTTCACACAACTAAAATCACTTCCTACTCAAGTTTCTCCTAGAGGAAGAAAACCTGCAAACATCACAGCCCAGTACTCCTCCCACCCCACCCCCCGGCTCAAACAATAAGTGTTTCCATCAGTGTGCTGATTTCAGCTGAGACTAAGCATTCAAGCAGTGCAGGTTTGGGAGAAATCTGTGGTTCTGCTGTGGTAACTGAACTCAAGCCTGGTCTCGAGGTCCGGCTGTGTCTTCTGGTACCTCTGCTATTCTAATACAGGATACAGGGAGAGATGTGTAGAAGATATGTAAGCAAAGATACTGTTTGGCTTGCAGAAATTACTGATGATACGTGGACCTCCAAATCATAGCTTGACCCCTAGATTGTCTTTGCAGAAATCAGTTTAGCAAATTAGACTTGGGACCCAGTAACAACTAGGGAATTCTGTAAATACATGCTTCTGTTATGTGGAGTTCCCGTTTATAGTCTGGATGTCGCTCTTGCAGAGAAGTCATCAAATTGGGAGCTTCATCCTCAATTTCAAAGGCTTTTTTTAAGCCTTTCTGTAAAGTGGCATTAACTCAGCCACCAGTGGGTACTCTGGGAACATTGTTTTGTGTTGTCATAGAGGCTTATTTGTATCTCTGAAAAGAGAGAGAAATCATAGAAATGTAATCATTATCTGTCTTAATGTTATCTCTTTTAAGCATTCATTTTATTTCGGTAATGCTTTATCTTTATAGGGAAAAGCACACCGTGACCAGCAGCTTGTGTTACTCAAGGAGCATCTAGAAAAATATTACAGGAGCCGTAATCGGAAATGGATTGTTTTATTTCCAGAGGGTGGCTTCCTTAGGAAAAGGAGAGAAACAAGCCAGGCATTTGCCAAGAAAAACAATTTGCCATTTCTTAAACATGTCACCCTGCCGAGACTTGGGGCAACACAAGTAATTCTGAAAACGCTTGTAGCACCGCAAGAAAATGGAACTCCAGCAGGTAGAGACACTGTGATAAAAGGTAAAGACCACTTCAGTCTTGTGGATAAAAAGCAAATTGAATGGCTAAGATTTGAGTTAAACAAAACATTTTGTGTTGAATTGGTCTCTTAAATGTCAAATACATCCATAATGCACCATCATATTTACATAAATGTTTTCATATTTGCTTTTAGTTCCACTAAGTTTATTTTCTATGTTGAGACACAACAAAAAAAGATGATCTTAGTTTTAATTTGATTTAGTCTATAGTGTGGCTGCATGAATGTTTGTCTTGGTACACGTGATGGGTAGAGCAGATACTGGAACGAGCACCTGGTGTGGGCAAGAAGGTGGACTGCTCCTTTCAGCATGATTGATGGTTTGCACTGGTTTATGGTAGTATGAAACTACAGTAGAAGTATTTCTGGAATATGCAAACTATGTTCAAATTTTTATTCCTGGCTTTAAAAGTTTCTTCGCACCCAGTACTGTATACTTCATTCCTCTTCTTGAACTGTTTTCTATTGAGTTCAAGTTCGTTTATCCTCTATAGATTTTTATGATGACTGTCCCCTTTGTTGCTGGAGTTAACTGTCACTGATGACTAGATTTGAAGGATTGTTTGGCTGTCTTACGTTGGAAGAGTTATGAGGGAATAAGAATATTCCTGCAGCATTATTGTTCTGGGACGCCTGGGCTGTAGGGGAGAGTATAGCTGGGATATAAATTATGTCTGTAGTTACAGGACTTGGTGCTTTTAGTCTCTCAATTTTTGAAATTAACTTCTTGGCATGTTCAGAGAGTGGGGTTAGATCTTACTTAACCTAGTAAGTTAGTATTTCTGTTACTTATTATAGAAACAATGGATTGGGGGTTTGTGGTGGTTTCTTATAGATGGGTGGTGCTGGTATTTCCACAGCCAAATTATTATGATCGTTTAGCAGTTTGAACCAAAGATCCATCCTAATGAAGCCACATATGCAGATGACTTTGGGTTTTTTCTGTGCTGAAGTTCAAATTTCAGGGTTAGCAGGAAACCTCATACTGAAATTGCTTCCAGATTTTTAGTTTTGAAGTTAATCTTGTCAACATAGGAAATGAATGGAGATGATGTTCTTGCAGAAGTGGAGGGAAGATTTTAAATGAAATTAAAATCAAGCTATGGAATGCATCAGAATATTTTCTTTCAGGCTACATTCAGAAAAGAAAATCTGAAGAAAGCCCTTGTTGTCTTAGAAGATTTTAGGTTTAAAAGAGAAACAGAATAACCTAGTCCCTGTTAAAAGTTTTTTTTTTTTAAGGAGAAAAGTTTGGCCAGTCCCTGTTCTGTTTATTCCCATATCAAAGGCAAAAAGGTATGAAAAGTAAGAAGTTCCCCAAATGTGAATTACAGGCCTTCTAGTTCTGGAAGGGGACCAAAAGCGCTTGTCAAATACCAATTTTATATTTTCATACTCTTAGATTGCTATCAACTTAGCTGAACATCAAATCTGGCTTCTTTCTTCTTTGATCATGGCATGATTCAGACTCTGGAGAAATGAGCGTTTGATAGTGGCTGACCTAACTGTGTACTAAAATAAAGGAATTGTCTCAGAAATACAATGGAGCCACATCTGTCCATCCTACTCAAAAGACAGACGGAAAGATAAGTGGGCAAAAATAGGAAAGAAACGTGTGGGTTTAGCTATCATTCTTTCAGAGTAATGGACATGAAAACATAATAAAGGGGATGAAAAAGAGAAGTGAAAGTAAATTTTATATGCTAGGAAAGAGTAATATTTGATACATATGAAGCTGTGAGGTATTTTGAGTCCTCTCTTCTCTTAAGCTCACGAAAATGTTTCTAGCATGGTAAAACTTCCCTTTCAGAGATGTACGAAAGGTTAATTCTTGATCTATATCTTATATAAAAGACTCTTCCTAATCTTTTGCCTTCCAAATGCTTTTACTATACTCTTGCCACTTCAGAAAATTTTTGAAGAATGTTTGTTCAGTTAAATGAAATATAATTGTGTAAATTGATAAGGTTATAATATAAAGTTAGAAGCCTAACAAATTAGTGATCTTTATTTTTTTATCTGTTTTATCTTTCCCTTTTTTTAACCACATGAAAAAACCTGGCTCAGTGAAATCAAATTTGCCTGTATCCTCTTTGGGTTACCATTTTTGAGTTGTGGGTGCTAGAACTAGAAGTAGTATATACAGTAAAGGTTTTGCCAGTGTCTTGCATAGAGATTGCGTATACACTTTTTGTACATTATTACTGTACTTCTTGGCTTGGGAAGTGGCTTGTGTGTCAGTAGCATCACACTTGAACTTCATGGTTCACTGAAAACATCTTTCCTCTGCACCACTTGTGCTCTCTACTGTCTTATTTAATAATGTTCCTGGTGTCCTGAGTTACCAAATTATTCATCTTACTATAATAAGCTTTCTTCTCCATTATTTATCGCCCTCTCAGTCTTTTTGTTACTGCCCAGCTTTACTGATAATGATGGGGTTCACCTTCCTCCCCCCCACGATTTTAGTTAAATTGGTTTATAGGTTAAGAGTAACTCCTCATCAAAAATTATGTCCCCTTCCTGTTGAGTTTCCTGGGTAGCTATCTTACGATAAGTCATGATACACAGTTGCGGCCTTCTTGAGTGTTGTCATTTTATTAGTACTTAATTCATTTAAAATTATCCTTGTAGCTTTTATACCATTGTAGATTTTATACCGTTCTACTTTCTCAACTGGAATGGTGTGTAATACTCAGTGAAAGAAGAAAAGATGACAAAAGCAACTATAATAAAAGATGGCTCATTCTTAACATACTGCTATGCTGCACCCTGATCTGGTACAAACCAAGTTTCATACAGTTGTTTCATCATGTCACCCGCCCCACTCCCCAGCCCACTAGCTTGCTTTTGTACATAAATGTGCCTTCAAACAGTGGTTGAAGAGTTGTGCAACAGGTAAATGCTACATCATCTGTCCTTCTTCTGTAAGGTCTCTAATCTGATTTCTGTCATCCCTTTGGTAAAGGCGGGTTTATGTTGTGAAGTGTGAGGTTCGGTAGCCTCCCCAAAATTTCATTAGCCTTAATTATGATATTAGTATTCTTAATATCCGATCCCCATTCGAGTTTATTTTCGTACTAGTTATGAATTTCCCACAGCTTATTACCTGATTCTTTCTCTGTAAAGTGACAGGAAGAACAAATGTTCCTGAGCTAGACGATCAATACTATTTGATTATTCTTGCACTTAAACCGATCAGTTCTTTATCGGTTGCTTTTCCAAGGCAAGCAGCTTCTATTTTCTTCATTTCCTCCTCCTAACAGTTTTCCAAGCCTTCTTTCATATTTAAAGTTCCAAGTACTAGCCCTCATCGGGGTGAAATTGAACTTATTGCTGGTAAATACTAAATTAAATGACTAAAACAGTTGTTGCTTTTGCTGCCTTTTGAAACACTTGTTTAATTTTAACAAAATTGTACAATTTTATTCCTAAATAAATAGAAGGATGGAAGAACATGTAGGAAAGGTAATACTATCACTTGATGGCTTGAGTGCTTTTGAAGCTAGAAAGTACAGACAATGTAGTTAATTGATGTCTGTCCCTGAAAATATGGTTAATCTGGTGTCTGATGAAAGCAAAGTTAATTCTGGTGTCTGATGAAAGCATCCCTCTGGGCCGATGTGCTGTGCCCCCCAAACAAAGCGCTGCTGCCAGTGCCTGTGTTCCAGGAGGTGGTTTTAGTGCAGAATAGAAATACAGGCAGCATAAAAATACTTGATTCATAGCCATCATCACCTTAACCCTGTAGGGACTGATGGGGGGTGGGGGTGGGGTGGGTGTTGTGTCGTTTTATGGTTTGGTTTTGTTTATTTTTTTAACAGAACGCTTAGTCTCTGACATAGTTGCAAGTACAATGTTTCTTCAGTTAATAAGAATTGATCTTCTTTTGAGTTTTAGAACTAGCAAAATGTTCTAAGTGCTAAACAGCTGGCAATTCAAAGGAGTTTGGAGCAATTGTTCACTGAAGAGATGTGTTCCAGAGCTTATTTTTGATCAACTTTGCTCTAGTATGTTTTTTTTAATTCTGCTTTATTTTACCATGCAGCAATTTTTTGTCTGATAAGAGGTTGCTTTGAGCTTGGTTAGAGTCATACTGAAATCTTATCTTACTGTTTTCAAATGCAGCACAGTACATTCAGTTCTGATGCTTTTTCTCAGAGAAATTCAATTTTCCCTTCTGCAGAGCTGGACACTGGACTCCGTAACTGATAATTTTTTTTTTAATCAAACTTTTTGATTCACTGTTATATGAGGAATGTGACTTGAATAACATGTGGGAAGGCTTTTTTTTATCCTGGGAAAGGGGCATCTTCTTTTGTTCCAGGTGATTTGTTACGGAGATATCTTGGGATAATGAGTACGATGTTCAGTCTGAGAGCTAATCTTTGGGAAAAGAGTTAATTTGAAGGTCAGTGGTCCAGTTGGTCACACGAGGACAAGTAGAGGACAAGTGGCAAGTTACAAGAACGCATTGCTGTGCAGGGGGAGGCAACAGCCTCTTTCAACTGCGTTTAGAGTGATGTAAGTGTTCAGGAAACCACACCTCAATACTAGTGAATGCTAGTAAATATTTTCTTTTTCAAGTGGAAGCTGCGGTCCTCAGGTTCATGCCTGGCTGGTGCATTCTTTTCCACTCCGGATGCAGTCTGGCAGTATCGCACCATCCAGAGCTCGGCTGGAGGCAAGGCTTCCTACTGAAACCTGTCTTTATAACTTGCTCTTTTTCTCAGTGGTAAACACTGATGGTCTGCTGGCAGGTTTGAAGAGTCCTGCGCATAGTCAAATCTGGCTTTTAGCACTGGTTGAGAGTAATCCCAGGGAGGACATAGAGGGAACGAAGAGAAGCTCTGAACCCCGCTAAATTTGTAGATAATCAAGTATCTGCTGTGAGAGGACCATGGAGGATGACAGAGCACTGAATGTCTTGAAGACACTGATGGTAAGTTGCTTCCTAACTAAATAGGAAGCAACTTACTATCACTGAATCCACAGCTAGAACAAAAATAAGGAAAAAAAAAAATAGTTACAAAGATTTGCCTCTGCTGGTGATTTAAAAAAAAACAAACCACAAAACCAACAAGTTAGGAGGCTGTTTAAATTTTGTTTTGATTTTTTTTTTTGTCTAGACCAGAAAGCTACTGTTAGATGTGATTGTTCAGTCTTGTGTTAGCACTCATAAGGCAAGTATGTACCATTCACACTAAGGTACGTTATTCCTATGTGGTTTGGATGCAACTGTATAGGACAGATGCCTGCAGGCCTGTTTTGAACATTTATGTACTACTTAAAAAGAATCAGACTGCTAACATTTTGAGGCGATTTGAGAAATTAAAATCCTCCACCTGTGCTGAAAGTGGCAAGCAGACTGACACCACAGAAGAAAAACTAGTCCTCGGAGAGATCAGCTTGAATTTGGCCTCTGCAGCAGTTTCTTCTGCCGAAGTCTCTAGCAGCCAGGCTGCTCAGTCTTTCAGCGGGTACTAGAAATGAAGGATGAGGCTGTCTTTTAATGGTGGGTAGCAAGTTCAAAAAGGTTTGTCTGTCAGAAACATCTGTGGCTGTGTTGGCCAAGCCAAACTTGGCAAGAGGAGTTCTTGAACAGGTATACGCAACTCCCTTTTTTTCAGCTGCAAATGCCAGACCTGAGATTCACACTGTATTATAACTAATGCAGCAGTCTTTCTGTTCTGACTTCCTGTCAGTGTGCTCCATTTGAAAAATAATAGGGTTTATTCTTGTTCAAAGGTCTGCTTAGGCTTAAAAGCAGCATCCTCAGGCATACTGAGGTCCTACCCCTTTGTCTTGTGTGCAGTTTTCTGTTTCTTTTTCAGTTTCAGGATCTGTTAGAGCTTCATGACTTTAAAATAAATATGTTCATGAGCAGGGTGCAACACAGTATAACCCCCCCAAAAGGACAGCAAGATGTATTTCAGAATTAATTTTCTGAAATCCTTGGTGACTTAGGGTTTTCTGGCAGTATGAGATCTTGGATGATTATGTAAGGCTTATTTTAAACCAGAGCATGCAGAAATATGCCTGTGACAGTGATTTGATAGCACGTCTTGGTAATTGCACGTGGAGGTAGCTGTGCTAAGACCTGCTTGCTCTAAAGGAGGGTCTATGAAGGCTGACATTACTTTCAGAATTTTTTTTTTTTTTTTTTTTTTTTTCTAACCTGGGGTTCCTGGTGGGCTGTCAGAGGCAGGTTTTTCTGCCACCCTGCCCTGGAAGGGGCTGGAGGTGAATTTGGAGCTGGTATGAGGAATCCATGCGACAGCTCTGCTCCACAAAAGCAGAAGGTAGGAAATCAGCACAGAAGAGGACTGCAGGAGTCTTTCCATACTGAAGTTTGAACCATTATCCACTGAAAGAACAGTTTGAAATGAAATACTAGCTAAATATTTAATAAATGATTTTAAAACATTTTACTGTAAATAATAAGATAATGTGCCCGTATTCATCTGGCACTTTTTAATTGCAATTAATGATCTTTGTTGCTTACTCACTTAGACAATTTACTTGTCTTTATCCATTCTTACTTTACATCTGGGAAAACAGTAAATTGAATGGCTTTGTTCCGAAATCCATTTCTAAATGAATACTTCTGTGGATTTACTATTAATTTCATATTGGCTTTTCTCTAATACATTGCTACTTTTAAAATGAAGGACTCTGTAGTTAGTGCTTTTCTTAAGAGAGACTTGATAAGCACTCTGTCATGATGCTGGCAAGCCTGGAGCCTCTAATGGGACCTCGTGTTCTCATTTCACGTGTCTGTCAGGGTTTTAAAATACTGTATTTCCAGAAGGTGACACTGGATGTTTCAGCTTGACCTGTGTAGCTTGCACTTGGTCAAATTGTGGAATAGCATATTGCATACTACTAATAACTCATAGCCTAGATATTAGGAAATACTGTCTAGCCTTATTCAGGTAGTGTATTTGCATTTGTAACCAAGTAGTACAACTCCATTGTTGAGTAGACACTATGAAAACACTAGCTGCTTGTTAAAATAATTGATAGATATATGTGATAGCATTGTTGTAACTGTCTTCTCACACTTGATTAAATTAAATGCAAATTAAATTAAATGCAGGTAGAAACTTGCGAGTCAGTCCTTGCACGTATGTTCTAGTTGGTGTTAATAACTCTGTGGCTTTTGGAGTGCACCTCAGACTGTGTGTTGCAGATTTCTTCATGTGTGTGGTAGCTTCTTCTGTAAAATTTGAGTGGCGATTCTGGGCACCTGTCTAGCCCAACATCTTGTCCATGACACCAAGTGGGTATCAGAGGAAGAGTATGAACACAGCAAACATGCATCATACTTCTGCCGCATACTCTCCTAGCTTCTGACTGTTTCCAGTGTGGTAGGTTTCCCAAGCCAGATGGGGGTAAACCATCCAACGGATTTCTTCCATGTACTTGTCCAATTTCCTCTTGAACCCAACTCTCAGCATCCTTGACATCCTTTGGCAAGGGGTTCTCCACAGTTTTATTCCCCTCTGCATGAAGAATCATTTCTGTTTGCTTTGAAAACTTTTCCTCTTGGCTTCATTTTGAATACGTCTATTCTTGTATTGAGAAAGATGGTGAACAGTCTATCCCTGTGCACGTTCTTCATGCCAACAGTGTTTTTGTCAACCTCTATCAAATTTCTTTCATAGCTATCTCAGCTTCAGGCTTGAGAGTCTTGTACTTTGTGCTAAGACCTAACACCTCTTACATGCTTCTGCCAACAGGTGGCTGTTTTTAATAGTCAACTTTATAAATGCTTTAAGATATTGCTGGGTATGATGTAAGCATATTACTATACTAGTGTATTAAGCATTAAGTAAGCATATTACTATACTAGCCCGAACATAACATGACCTCAGATACAAGGCAGCTCCAGTTCCCACAGAACAGATAGAAAATTGACAAGCTAAGTTCCAAGTGCTGTCTTGGCAGTGTGCCCCTCCTTCCTGGTTTGCTTTCCAGATCTGCTGCTCTGCCTTTTTGCAAACCTGTGAATCGAAGACATGCCAGAGAGAGGTTGATATCTGACCTTGACTATTGCTGGTAGTAACCTATGTTCAGATTTAAATTTGACTCTCCTGAATAATCTTCATAGCAAATATTTTCACCTCCTATGATCCTTTTTTCAGTTTCTAAATATGCTGAGCAGCATATGAATGTGTACTGGTATCAGCCTTTCTGTGACCTTGTGGATGCAATCTCCTCTCCATTGTGAAAGATGACCATTTTATATTCGTTGCTTTCTTGTCTTTAATGCACAGATTTCCTTTTTATCCCGTAACTCAGATTTTTAAGAACCTTTGAGGGATTTTTTTAATAGATGTCTTTGAAAAATCTAACTACGTCGTATGACATGTCACCTTTATCCACTTGCCCTAACCCAGTAGTGAGGCTAGTTGTCTGAAGGGATCTGCATGGCTGTTGCTTCATCAGTGATCTGCAACTGCGAGCTCTTACGAAGTTGTAAGTTGTGCTTAAAGTGTAGACCAAGAAAGTTGGATTTTTGTTTTTGAAGTGTTCCTTTTGGTGAATGGGGGGAAGCGCCTAACATTTGGGCCAACATGTTATTTGACTATACTCATACCCAGTGAGTGAACTTATTCTGTGTACTACAATATGTAAGAACAACAGAAATAACTGTGATAGTAAAATCTTGGTCTAACTGAAGTTTGTAAGAGTATTTCTGTGCTCTGTAATGAAATCTGGATTTGATTTTTGGCTGTCTTATTTGTGCCTCATACCTCATGAAGTATCTGATACTGATAGAATAACTATCAAATCAGTGACATACACTTTCTGATTACTTTTAATATCACGTTTCTTTTTGTTCCTAGAGAGCAAATCAAAAGGCCTCCAGTGGGTGATAGATACAACCATTGCGTATCCCAAAGGTGAACCTATAGACATCCAAACTTGGATTCTTGGCTACCGACAGCCAACGGTTACACATGTGCATTACAGGTAGGAAATAAACCTTCTACTCTTACATTGAACTAAAATATTAAAAACCAAGTATTCACAAATTAGTAACATCATGTTTCAGGATATGGGAAATCAGTAGCAATGTCCTTTTTTATGTGTCTCACACAGATGGGCAACTCATATTATCTAAACACAACACAGTTTTTTCTTTTGAAAAGTTCAGTGACGATTCCATATCTTAGCACATTTAAGGTTTTGACTAATGTCCTGTGGCTGAATATAGTTATGGGGAATATATTTGATGGCTAGGTCATCTTTTCCACTTTAATGTTAAGGTGCTGGTAAACCCAACTTGATTTTTTTTTTTTTTTAAATAATGACAACAAATTAAAAATCACTGTGTTATTAAATAACAGGTTTCCTGAGAGATTATTATATATTGTATTTAACTTTCTGACAAAGAAATGTCAGCTTTTTCACTCAAAGCATGCTCTTAATAGTTGAGCAGAGCAACACTCTGGAAATAGTAGCAAATCTCATTGACACCTAGGATGGGATACTATTAAAACTTTTCTCCTCAGCAGTTCTTTGTCTTAAGACCTAAACCAATGGAGAGAAGTTGCATTTTGCTTTTGGTTTGCAGTTAATTGCAAGTCTGAAATCTCCAGAAATATTTTAACATTCTTCGTATGCCAAATAAGTAGATCACATTTTATCCCCAAATTGCATTATTTTGTCTTAATTCCCTTTTGCTGATTTGGGGAGCTTTTAGACTTTTACAGTAAGATTTCAGATATCCTTGTGTGGATCCCTTGGGTGGCAGTTTAACTGGAATGACCTTCTCCAGCATCACTGCTGCCAGTGTTGAATGATGCAGAGTACAGGCTGCTCACTGGAGCTCCTTTCCACAGCCATGTTTAAATCTGTCCCTGCTTTTTATAGAAATCTGCCTTCAGGTTTTTCCAAAGGTGAACATACTTACATCCTAATTTATGTAAGGTATCATAATATTTATTGTGCTTTATTCAAGTCACCTTAGTACTCTCTCGGATCTCTGGGATAATTGCAAGTTGAATGTATTTAGAATTTTACTAAAGAGTATTTCCAAAAATGCTTCATTTAAAAAAGATAGAAAGTTATCTTAAGTTGAATTAACTTCCTGCTTCTAAATGTGTATATTCAAAACCTGTTTTTGAGCATGAGCATAAAAATGATGGAACCTTCCTTGCATTGAACTTGAATGTTACAGTTCTTGTAGTACTAAAATTCTAAGAAAAAATATTAGAGTTTTTTTATTGTTGGGTGTAGGTTTGTTGTTTTCTTCCAGAGGGTCTAAATCACTGGTTTAGACAAGGGCAAGCCTCTCTGTTTTTGTTTGTGTGTGTTTGTTTTCTTTAATAACCTCTAGTTGTTATGGCTGACCCTGTAAAAATATTTGAAGTATGCCACAAATGGAAACTAATGCAGCGGCATGTCTCTGAAGGCTGAGAGCTGGATGTAATACCTCTGAAATGAGAACTGAGTGTCTTGGTTTCAACTGGAGCTTTGGCTAACTTTCCAGTCCTGATAATTCTTAAATTGGCATGTCAAGTTTAGGCATGCGTCCTCTGGACTGTAAGGGCTTTAGTTGGATGCAGGGTAGCAATTCTTAAAGATGCATTTAACAAAGTACCCTGGCTCTGACAGCGGGCGGTAGCAGCAGCAAAGACACAGGAAGGCAGCCCGTGTGCCATCTCTGCGCATAAACACACGGTGGCTGTAACATGTTCTGAGCAGGCATCGCATCTGGATTGCTCTTTTGGTAGGTGCTGATGGACCTGGTCTCTGTGAACCATTTTTAACCTGCTTATGCTTAGCCTTGTACAATTTCCCATGGCACAATGTGTAACTGTTCTTGAGGGTGGTAGCCAGGACCACTTCCTTGTTGCTAGTGTTAAGTTCTCCACCTGATGCCTTCAGTGGGAGCACCCTGTTTCCTGTGTCCTGCCACAGTAGTGGATGAATCATTCCTCAGTGACGCTCTCCGTGGCCCGTGATTTTACAGAGCTTTCTCATATCCTGCCTTAGCTGTCCGTGTCCCCTTCCTAGCCCAGCAAGTCTTCAACTATTTGGTGTCTCCTTATACAAAAGCCTTTCCCTGATTATCTTGTTATTTTTGTCTGCGCCTTTTCTGGTTCTGCTGTAACTAGTTTGTGAGTTGACTGGCATCCTGAATTCCCCACAGTGATTTTGGGGTCGCTTACCAGAGTAGTAACAGCTAATCTTAGAGGCTGTGGCAGTGTATGCGTAGCTGCTGGTGCTTTTTCCTTCCCCGGTGTTCATTGCCTTGTGTTTACTGGTATTTAATTTCATCTGCAACTATTGTCAGGTCCTTCTGCAATTCTTCTGACTATCCAGAATAATTCTATACCAAAGAAGTTATATCGCTTTTGTATCCTTTTTTCCAGATTTAGCATATCATCTAGCTATGATATGCTAAGACCTTTTAATGTGTCTGGAATTAGAGCTGTAGTTTGGAATGAATACGGTGAATTTTCACCTTCAGTGTTTTTGACAATAAAATTTATTTTTAGATATTTTTGTGTGGCTTTAAAAATATTTTTCTGTTTTACGTAAATGATATATTTATCCATGGCAGGATTAGCAGAGAGTGACTGAACAGCGTGTGTACATGAATTTACTCACGTTGCATCATCCTTTTCTGTTGCTTATACAGAAATTTTCCTGTTGGATTCCCTTCAGGGCATTACAGCAACTGATTTTTTTATTATTATTATTTTTTCCCAGATCACCTGACTTTACTCATTAGGGGTTTTTTTTTAGCATAATGCTGTAATGTGATGGGCACCTTCAGGGTTTTGACAACTTTAAATCATGTATCGATGATTTGAACAGAGTTGTTGGTACCACTGAGAACCTGTGAAGATGGAGTATGTGCCTGGGAAACTGGGGGTGGCAGACAGGGAAGAGTAGGGAATAACCGTTCTCTCCGAAGGCGTTTCTGGCGTTAAAGAAAGCCTTACAGCTCTGCTATCACTTCATTGAACCTTCTCCAGGACTGGGAAGCCAGATGACTGAAGCCCAGTGGGGCTTCAATTGATGTCAAATGACATCAATTTCTTAGAGCTTATTTTTGAAATTATAGGTATGGTCAATGGAAAACTGTCTCTCAGGAGCTTTGTATGTGTGCCTCCTAGGCAGCGTCCTCACTTGTCTGAAAATACAGTGATGTCTCGAGCCTGTTTCTGCGTCAGATCTTTATCAGGAGCAGTTCTGGAAAAACACCAAAGCCCTTTATGCTGGTTAAACAGTGCATGCTACAAACAGCTGTACTTGGTGCCCAGCTAGCTGATCCTTGCCAACATGTCAACCTCCTTCCTCTCATCCCTGGCACTTCTGTTTGGAAATGCAGAGCTGCCTTTTAATGTGCTGAAAAGTGTCCTGGGAGGTTTCTGTGCAGTGTTGCTCCCTGAGAGCTGGTCAAGCCGCAGGGCGGAGGGTGATACGCCAGACCTGGGTAGCTGTACGGCTTGACCAGGAAACCTAAACTACTTCTTTAAGTTCATCTTCCATGTGGAGACCAAAACATTGCTGTAACAGAGCCATTAGAGTATCTGGGGTTGTCACCTGAGAATGCCAGCACTTATTCTGCAGGTCACAAATTCAAGGTGGTTCCTCAGTAATTCTAATTGGGTATTAACTACTCTTTGTCTGTAACAGTGTAGGCAAGGATTAAATCAGTGACTGAGGTTTGAAAAGGCCTGTGTTGAGCCCTGAGATGTCCCTTGTAAAGTTGGTGCATTTCTTTAACTCTTCGAAACAAACTCAGTTAGCAAAGGAAAACCCAAGGCAAAGTGGACTTTGTCTTTAAAAAGATGGAAATGTCAGAAATGTCTTCCAAAGATGGAAAATGTCAGAGGTGTTTCTATTTTTCTGCGTTTGACATAGATGTCCTCTGAGATTTTCATGAAATGTATATCGAGTATGTCTGGATTGTTGTTATTCCCTCCTTTTCCTTCATTTAGTGCAATAAGATTTTACTCGTTGTTTGTAATTTGGAATGTCTTGGGAGATTACATTTGAAATAAATTTTAAGGGTAATTTTTAAATAACCGGGGAGAGAGAAAGTTCTGCATGAGTCTGTGTGCTCTAGCGCACTAGTTTCTCGTCTATCATTTCTTTTAACTGAGTTATAGCAAAAAAAAAATTTAAAAAAAAACAACCCTTTGGAAAAAATAAAGAATAGTTTTGACCAGATGCCATCTCTACTGTACGAAAGGAGAGTCGTGATTTAAACATGCTTTTCCCCTTTTAGAGTAATCCAGAGTGAGGAATTGATGTATGACAGCAGTGGGGGAAAAAAGCAACATTTTCTGAGCTACTCGAACTGGAGCAGAGGAGACGGCAGAGCCTCTTTTGTTCTGGTCGCTCAGTCAGTCCTTTCTGCTGTTCCCCTTGGTCACAACCTGTCTCCTTCTGCCTTATGGTCTTTCAAAACTAGTGTTTTCCTTTTCTCATAGCCTGTCCTTTTACTGCAGGATTATTTCTTTTTCATCCCACTTAGGGAGCAACAGAGGAGTGTAGAGGACACAGCAAGCAGCCTTATGTTTTCATTTTTAGATGCTTTTCTAGCTGATGGAAGTGGCGGAGAAGGTTCAGTTTAATCCAGTAATCTTTTTTTTGTTTGAAAGCTCAATTTTTATAATGAGTTGAAGCTTGCTTTTCAAACCTCAATTTCCTGTACAAATGACGTGTTTTTCAGAAGTTCATAATTTAGGCTAAGCTGTGGCCTGGTTTTCCTCAGGATGTCAAAAAGACACTTCCCTAGAAAAAAGGACAATTACCAAATTTCAGATTCTTCAAAACACAAAGGTGTGAGAACTTATCCTTTCAACTATCGAATAATTTTTTGACCCTGACAGGCTTGTCTCAAAACTCATTGGAAAGTGCTGAAAAACTGGGTTTGCTGTCTGAAACATAATACTCAAAGAAAATATCTAATTAACTTCTTCCAGGTCAAATGGCACTGGGATTTTTTG